TAATGACCTAGGAGGAGCCAAAAGTCCCTGTAAAATGCCTCACCTTAAAAAATTCGAAAAAGCAAAAATTAAAAAAAAAAAAAAAAGAAGAAAGGAAAAAAGAAAGAAAGCAACAGTGAGCATCAGTCTTTCTCTGAGATGCCTTGAACAATTCCACTACACCCCAAAAATATCTTCTGAGGGACATACTGCCCCACATTTCATAATTAAAGCTATATAATCTTAAATTCCATTTTCCTTGTTGGTGAGCTACAGTTTTAGAACTAATTCCTACTGAAAACCATTTAAAAATTTTTAAAAAAGAAAAAGAAAGTTGGGCCCAGCTGCTGTAGCATAGCAGTCACATGGTGCCCTGAGAGGCCAGAGCCACATGGCCAGCCACAGGTTCGGATCCCTGAGCCAGCCTGAAAATGTGCCAGGCACACATGGGTGCACTGGATCCTGAGTAATCAGATGGCTGGGGAAAGGGAATCACAGCATGGCAAGACTGTCTAGGGTGCTTCTCTCTTTCTTTCTCTCTCTCGTATACATGGATCTGTACTCCCTATCACAATAAATAAATATATAAATGTTTAAATGGTGGCTGAGATAAATAAATAAAACCATCTTAAAAGCACTGAAGAATGCAGGTCAGTCAGTGGTGTGGTAGTTAAGACAGCTGGATCCCACATGGACAACTGCAAGGTTTTAGTTCAGACTTGACAGCTTGAGAAACACATCAGGTGGGTGTGCATGAACGCCCACATTCTGGAAAGGAAAAATGGAGGACAAAGGATTGTGGTGTGACCATTCTCCCTGGAAGGTGCTTTCTCATTTTCTCTCTTTCTCTCTCTCTCTCTTTCCAACAAATGCATATGCCCTTTAGAAAAAAAAATTTTTTTCTAAACACTGAGAACTAACTAGATAATGGAGAACAGCCAGGCCAATTGATAGGATAAATCCTGGACCTACAGAAGGGAGGGAGATCCCCACAAGCCAAGCCACTTCTGCTCTAAGGGTACCTGCTCACTCAGGAAATGTGAGCTCTAAAGGTCAAGGTCCAGCTGGCATAAGGAAAGACAGATCAATGGAATGGAACTGAAAGAGAAATAAACTCACACCTTCATGAGCAATTTACTTTGGATAAAAGCACTGAGACAATTCAATAAGGAAAAAGTAAGTCTTTTCAATAAAATGAATTGGTATGCCTGATATCCACAGCCAAAAGAATGAAAGTGGATCTTTGCCTCACTCCATGTGCAAAAATTGAGTCAAGTAGATTGAAAAAACTCATTTTAATAACTAAAAAACTACGTAACTCCTACAGGAAAACATAGACATTGTCTGCTTCCATAGTGTAGTGATTAAGCATTGTGCATTAGGGGAGAAGATCTCACATGGCCAACCATAGTTTGAGTCCTGGCCCCAGACACTTGAAAAACATGACAGGCACATATGCACATGTGCCCAAAATCTTGACATAATAGAGAAGGAATTGCAATGTGACTATACTCTATTGAGGGGTATTTTTTCTCTATCTCTCTTTCTCTCTTTTTTTCCCTTTCTCCTCCATGAGTATACATGGACTTCAGTGATTAACAGATAAATTTTATTTATTTATTTATTTATTTAGAGAGATTTTTTTGCTATAGGGCATGGGCAATTGCCAGAGATACAGAGAGACAGAAAGTGAGAAATCACCCCAGGGTCCAGGATGGTCACAGCGCAATCCTTTCTCCTCCATTCTCCTCTTGGGATTTTGGGCACACTTGCGCACACACTCGGTGTTTCAAGCCACCAGGTAAAGAACTTGAACCTTAGTTGGCCACATGGGAGTCCACCCTCTTAACCACTATTCAACCTGCCAGCCCCCAGATAAATTTTTTAAAATAAAACAGAGGGCCAGCAGGTGGCATGGAGATTAAATTGTTGGATTCCACATGGCCAGCTGTATAATTTGAATAACAGACAAAACAGCTTGAAAGTCATGTGGGGGGTGTGTGTGTACATGTGCCCAAAATCCCAAGAGGAGACTGGAGAAGAA